TGATGTGCTGGACTGAATTTCACAGAGCATAAGGCTGAAGGGAATATTAAGAATTGGTAGAATCGTTGGCTGGTTCATCCATAAGGCTGGGACATAAAAGTCTTCCCTGGGCATTAGGTGTAGCCATGGGAGGATGGCCCTAGATGGCCACAGTGGTGATCCCCAAGCTCAGACTCTCCCTGTACTGTGCTGTGCCTGTTCCTACAGCTGAGTTGTCAGCTGAGCTCCCCATTCAGCTCCACACTCGTCCCTGCTGCTGGAAACACACCCCATGCTGCAAACTTGGACTCCACATTCACCTGGGATCACCTGCACTTCTGGGGTAGAGAGAGCAGGTAGGTCTCTGTTCATTTGACAAGCCTTGGCAGAACAGCCCAAGTGAGGTGTTTCCCAGCCCTTAAGAAGCCTTGAGGCAGAGCATCTGGCACAAAAGGCCCTGCAAATTTTACTGCTTGGGAAGGGACAGGATGGGGTGCTTCCTGTTAACGTGATACTATCTGCACAAAACATTAATAACTGCTGTGGCCTGAATCCCAGGGCGTTCATGAATTCCACTTAGCGGCTACTCACATTGCATTTAGCAGTTTTATTAGCAGTTTGCTATCAAAACAGAAGGGCAAGGCTTGGTACCTGGGACACTTTCTACCCAAACCCTCTGAGACCAGAGCACAGACGATGCTCTCAGGTCACCACAACTTTTTGGGAAAGGAGCAGCAATAAACACCATGAAGATGAGCAATGAAGGGTTCACACTGTAGGGCAAATACCTGCCTCTAAAAGCTCCTGAGCTGAGTTCCAGCATCCATTCCATTCATCCTGTGTTCTTCTCCAAGTTTTCATTTCAGCTCAGCTTTTCTCCGTCTGAGTAGCTCCAGTCTGTCCAGGATATGGTCCTATTTTAAGCTGTTCACAATGCACGAGCAGCACAAGATTCTAGGTGCTGGGATATTAAAACAGAAAGTCATTGCATCAGATCTCATTGAAATACAGCTGCCCCTGGAGATTCCAATTCAGATCAACTTCATGTCTTTAATTGCATGGGGCACTTGTGTGGTTCATAAAATTAGTGTTCAGGCAACTGTGCCCTTTTCGGGCAGATTTGATAGAACCATGGGTTTTTAGTGCAGGTTAAGTACTGTTCATTCATTTATAGCCTCACATAGTTCCTCAGATATCATAATTTTCTTGGAAGGGAATGTCTGCTAGTGCTAATGTGCTTGGAAAGCTCATAAAACACAGAGGTAGCAGCAGCCTGTGCATCTTGCGTTTGCTGACAGTTCACTGTGGGTTTCTCTGATGTGACAGATTTACAGGGGTCATATTTCCACCTGGATGAGCTTGACCATGAATAATTCTCCCGTCTTGTGTACAAACGTGATTTTCCTACAACACCCATATATTTCTCTGTCCCAATTCTCCCCCTGTCTCTGGTATTTTTCTTCACACCACACCGTGGTCAAGGCAACAGAAAGAAAATCTTTTTATTAACATGCATGTTATTCTCTGAGGCTCCTATGTCTTTTTTGAAGGGGGTAGGGCTCAAGCAGGATTTTAGCTGGTGGTGATAATGGTGCAGTTTAAGGCTGATTAGGTGCAATTATACACCTTGTCTTTTCATTGTTCAGACCAACTCAGGCCAGAAACACCCAGGCTGATGTTAAAACCCTGATAGCACGAGGAGCAGCACCCAGTAGGTGCCCCACAGCCTGGGCAATGTCACAGTGTGCCTGCTTTGTGCTGTGGGGTGGCTTAGGCAGCAACTGCCCTGTCCTCATGCCTGGCCTCACACCAGCCCATGCAGGATTTTCTTCATCCTTGGACAAACACTGAGGGAGAGCTGGGTGATCTTCCCACTGGGAATCTCTGCACAGAGCAAGGTTAACCCTCAGGCAGGGGCAGTTCTGGGAATTCTGCACAGGCTGCAATTGCATCCTGTCCCCAGCCTTGATCATGCCCCCAGTTTTCAAAGTTCTCTCAAATCTGAATGAAATCCAAATTAAAACCAACAAAGTCCTGATCTGCCAGAAAGAAACTCTTGGTTAAACTCTGAACAGTCTTTAGGGAAAGCCTATTTTTCCTGTTTCCCATTTTTGGCTGTTCTTAGCGGGTTCATTTACTTTTACCCTTTGAGATTAATCACGGTAAGGCACGAGACCCACTTGCTGCTCATGTCACACCGGGCAAGGTGCTCCAGGCTGCCTGTAGATTGCTCCTGTACTCTGCATGCTTCCTCCTGGTCATTTCTGCTCCAGCAAGGGAGGCTTGTAAAACCCTCCCAGTCGCTCCTGCCAGTTCACACCTCCTGCTCCAAACTTCCTGTCCACTTTTCCGGCACAGGAGGTTAAGGAAAGGTGTGGAAACATTGGATGTACAGAAGAACTGAAGCTAACAAAAACATGTTGGCTGTATGTTTGCATATGTAAACATATTTGTGCTTCAAAGAGAAGAAAGCTTCTCCATCTTGGTCACAAAACAGCAAGATTTTGATCTATTTGCCTCTGTGAGAAGGTGAAAGAGTCAATATTCAATGAAGAGTGTGGGAAATGTGCTCATGGTAGTAGATAAAAGAACACCTCTGTGCACGTGCAAGCATTTTGGAAAGCTTATGCAACATTTCCTTTTCAAATAAACAGATACATACAGCCCTGTTTCCAAAATGTCACCGAGAATATCACTTGCAAATGTTTTTGGAAAGGAGGTTGCCAAATTGCTAAATATATTCTGTGCTTAGAATAGGCATTTTGTACTGTTTCCTCTCTACCCTGATAAATCTTTTCTTAGCCCTCCCACAGAAACTCAAAGACCTGCCTGGGGACAGCATCCCGCTGGGTTGGGTGCTTGTCCCCACATGTAGAGCTGGGTGCTGTGCCAGGGGAGGCCCATGGTCCTGCTCGTGTCCCCCTTGGTGCCAACCCCTGGCAGCACCAGCACGGTGGAGGAGCATGAAGGAGGAGAAGCAGGGACATGACCAAAGGGGTGGGAGTGGAAGGGCAGGAGAAGCTGTGAGAGCACCAGCACAAGCTCTGCACTGCATGGGGATGGTGCTCACAGCTGGCTTGTGCCAAGGCCCAGAGGGACAGAAACCAGCTGACATCATGGCTTTCAGAGAGTCACGCTTTAAAAATTCAGAAGGCTTTTTAATATACTACTCTGCCTCAGTGATGAATGGCCATCTGTCTGTAAATTAGTACGGATAGCAAGAACGCATCATTTCAGGGTTTTTACACTTCAGCTGAAAGACCTTACACATGCAAAGAGGAAATGGTGCAACTCATGACACGTTAGCACACACACTGCATACAAACCTCTGCCCTACCCATCCACTGCTTTCCCAGGGATATCAGGGACAACCTGCTGGGCTTTCTGGAATCAGACAGTGTCCTCCAAGAGCTATTTCCTGGTGGTCACAGGTATCTATGATTTTCTTTTTATTGGTCAGTTGTACAGTAAGGAGAAAATGTCAGGTCAGATCCACAAAACCTCAGTGCTTCTGAGGAGGCAGAAGAACTCATACTGCATTCCAGACTTAAATATTTAATCTTTCCTTACTTACATGATTCCACTGACTCACAAAAATGAGGGTACAAGGAGAGGGCAGATGGTCACATCAATCTCAACAAAGACATCACTGAAGCACTATTACATCGACATGCTGAGCCTAAATAATGCATCCAGGGTAGCCACATAACATGGAACCAAATTCATCATTTACTACTATTTTAGTCATAAATGGCAAGAGCCACTGCCACCAAGCTGCAGAAGCAGCACATCCATTTGTGCTTCCGGGAGGAGAACCAGCTTGGGTTCTCCAGATGTAAAGTAATCTTGTTAAATTGTTGAATCTCTTCCCAATCCAATTAATCACGGGGAGGTAAAAATTCATCTTGCAGAAGGAAAGCAGTGAAATGCTGCACATGAGATGGTAGGGTCTCTCTGCTTTTCCTTTTGTGATCAACGTGGGAGAAAATGCATTTAGAGTCTGTGACAGCTAGAAAGGCTGGAGATAAAAATATCCCTCACAACACGTAGGAAGGGTTGAAAAGAACCTCCTGGGTGATCAGGAGTAGCCCCTCACTGCTGAAGACACCACATTTAAGGAAGGTATACACTAATGGACGGCTGTATCAAACCACCACCATTTGGAGCGCTACACCTTCTGCTCCCGGCGGGCAGGGATCCTCCTCCCCTTCGGATCAGTACGATCAGGACGCTTTCTTCCCTTCTCCAGCTGAGATTTATTTATAGCCTACTTACAACCATTTGTTCTTGAGCCAACACCATCCATTAGTGGAACTAGTGGTTCCTCCTCCTTATTGCTCACGGCTTCCCGGAGCACGATGGCATCCCCTTGGCGATGGCATTCCCTTGGCACAGGGAGCGCACTGGGAGCCTCTGGTGTGGTGGTCGCAGGGACCCCCAGAGCTGCCCCCAGCCCACTGCTCGCTCCTCAGACGGGAGGGCTCAGGGGAGAGCCATGCCTGGCGCTGAACCGGCTGTGCAGGGACACACGGGGCACCACAGTTCTGGCAGCGCCCGCGCCACTCCCGGGACCCCACAGCAGCCCCCGGTGCTCTGACCCCGCACCTCCCTCCCACCACAGCGCCCTGTGCCCACAACACCCGCGCCACTTCGGGCACGCTGCAGCGCGCCCCCAGCGCTGTGACCCCTGCCATGCCGCGCAGTGCTGCGTCCCTGTCACACCCGTCCCGTTCCCGGGACCCCTCAGCTCCCGGCTCGCCGCCGTCCCCGCGCGCCCCCGGCCCCGCGGCGCGCGCAGGCGCGAGACGCGAGCGCGCGCACCGCCGCCCACCGCCATCCCCGTCCCCCCGCGCCCCCCGGAGGCCGCGCATGCGCGCCGCCGCCCTGCCGCTGCGGGACCCCCCTGCCCGGAGCGGGCCCGGCGCGGCGGAGGGGGTGTGGCCTGCGAGGGCGTGTCCCGCGGGGGGCGTGTCCCGCGCGCGGGGGGCGTGGCGCGGCGCGCCCTGTCCATGGTGCGGGCGGCGGCGGCGCGGGTGTCCCCGCGGCGGGAGCGCGGCGGCGCGGGGCTGTATGGACGTGATGTCCCCGCAACAGGAGCACCTCGGCCCGGGCCGCTCGTCCTCAGTGAGCGGCGAGAGCAGGGGCTTCGCCGCCGCCGACAGCAAGAAGGTGAGGCCGCCCCCGGAGACCGCACGGGAAAGCGCCCCCCGGTCCTCGCCCGTGTCCCGGAGCTTCCCGCGGCGGGCACCGCCGGTCAGCGCGGCCCCGCCGCGCGCTCCGCCGCGCCATCTCCCCGGCTCCTGCACGCCGCCGTCGGAACCGGGCTCGGGGGAGCCGCCGGCGGAGCCGGGGCTGTCGGCGGGAAGGGTTCGAGCTCCCCGGGGAGCCGGGAGTGCGGCGGTGCCCGCTGACGGGTGGATAACCGGGCATCTCGGGGGTGGCTGCACGCAGGTCCCGGCAGCACGGGGAGGCTGCTCCGGGGTGTCTGGGGTAGGTCCGGAGCGCCGCTGCTCAGCTGTCCCGGGCAGCTCGGAAGGGTTTGCCGGGTGCTGTGCGGTGCGGGCACGGGGCTTGGCTGCAGGGATCTCCCGGGGAGCTGGCGCGGAGGGTGCTGCTGCACGGATGTGCGGGACCGATAAAAGGGTTTGCTACATGGATTTAGTGGGGAAACCTAAGGGACGTTTTGCTGAATGTATTTCTGGAGGTTTTGCTCGGTAGGTATCAGAGGGAGCCGGAGAATGGTCTGCAGAGCGGTTATCCAGGGGATCGAGGAGGGATCTGCTGCATGTGTGCCTGGCGAGGGCGAGGGAAGGTTTGGTGGAGATGAGGATGTTTGGTGGCTGCTCTCGCACGTGCTTTGTGCAAGAGGAATATAAGGAGCTCCCTGAAGAAGCACCTTGTGCACGGTGTATACAATTGATAGCAGAGGAATCTCATCCCGTCTTCAAAACTGGTTGTAAAATCTGTTTGATGTCTCAGATTGCTTTTCAGCATTTGACACAATCAAGTGCAAAATGCTCTCTTCTGCATACAGCCAAGCACTTGTTTCTGCCTTTTACTTAGCTGTAACGAGCTGTGATAACCAGATTGTTCCTGCTGTATAGAACAGGAATTCTCTTTTTCTCTTGGGTTTAGCAAGTGCTGAAATGTTTTTCTATCCAAAGTAGAGCTGATACCTTGCTGCCTTGCAGATTTTGCTTCACAATGACATTTAAATCTATTCACTGCCTTGTCTTTAGAGGTGCACTTCAGACGACTGCCAAATAGGCTGGCAGGATTAGAATGACTGGCCAGGTTTCAGTATCCCTTAGTAAATCTGTCCACCTGGTGACAATTTAGGATGGTAGTAAAGTCTGAGCTTGTGTCCAACGCTGTGGCTAAGCAGTCCCTGGGATTTTGCTGGCTGTGATACAGCAGTGCTGATGGGTCTCTTTGGACTGGGAGGTGATGCTGTGTGTTTCCATGGGTTGTGTCCCACCAAGCCACATAGTGCTCCAGCCTGACTGCAGCCCTGGGGACCTCTTCTTATGGCAGCTGCTGTCAGTGGTGGAATGGTTGCCTGGAGAGAGTTTTGCCAAGATTTCTACTACACTCTAAGTACTGCAGTTAATACCTGATTGGTTTCTGAACTGGGCATGTGATACACCTACACAAGGTGGTGGAGTACCTTCTGCTGCCCAGCTGGGCAAAATGATGGAGAAGATACCCTTTCCAAGTGCTGTGATCTAATTTCAGATGACTGCATGTGCAGCTTCGATTTTTATCAAACATTTATTTCCTTTTTGCTGAAGACAGAACACCTCGTACCTTGCAACCTGGCAGAGCCCTGATGCTAGGCACCCACCTGAAATGAGAAGTTATGTTCGAGTACTGCGAAGATGAACGCTTTTATCATGCAAGTTCCACTTCATTATTCAGCATTCTAAGGACGAATATTAATGGTAGCACTTGTGTTTCCCATTCCTGCTCCAGAGAGCCCACAATCGAAGGAATGCAGACCTTGTTTTTGCCAACACTGACAAGAGAGCAGGGATATTACTTTTTACGGATCTTGGCAGCCCTTTTGGAATTCCTCAGCGTTGGAGGCACATGCAGCGGGGGTACAGATGGAGATCCTCCTGTGGAGAAGCAGGTTGAGACCCTGGCTGGGCCCTGCAGCATAGGCAGCTTTGTACACCGTGCACAACCAGCACAGGCAGCCACCAACATCCAGCCAGCAGCTCAGCTGCTTGTCCACAGTTGTGGTGCTTCCTTGAGATGCTAGCATGTCACCTCTTTGTGTCTCTCTGGGGAAGAAGATTCCTACCTTTACCGTGTACAGGAAGGGAGTATTCCTAATTTTGCCTGAAGCTGAATCTCAGTGACAGTTCAAATATTTCTTTTACTATTTGGGTCCTTTGTTGTCTTCTACTCAGTGCCAAAGCATCATTTTTTCACAACACAGAAAATCTTTTTTGGTAACAGGGATCTTACCTTGTTTGTATTGGTTGCATACAGTGAAATGGAAGAATGTGTTGGCAAGAAATCAGTTTTGATGCTGGTGACACAATACGTCAATTAAACAATTTTGTTGCAAATATGTATTTAACAACACTGTTTTGCTTTCTGGCAAAAGCTACCCCTAAATATGTGATGCTAGGCGACCACTGAATCTTTCTCCCTTTTTATTATGGTGACTATGTTTGCTCAAATTAGCTGAGATTTGCTGCATTGTTCTGTGGTTTCTGAACTCCTACTTCATCTTCCACTTGGCTGTCAAAACCAAGCTGAAGGACCACGTGCTTGATCACCCCACAGAACCAGGACAGAAAATGTCTAGGGCTTTTTTTGTGTATTTTATGTGACCATTTAGACTAATATCCTGGAAACGTTTCTGTGCCTATTCTTGGCATGCAAAATAATTTGCACTGCTAACCTACCTCACAGTCTGTGGGAGGTTCTCTCTGTTAAATGCTTACAGCACTCTGCTAAAAGGTGACATTGAAGTGCAGTGTTTTAGTTAATGCTTTTGGAAAATTCTGGGCTAGTTTCCCTCCTTTACTGGACTTACTGGAGTCACTGGAGTCGCCATGTGTGATTGACCTACAGAGAAGTTTTGTATTGACTGTTTAGCTTAGAAACCAATACCAATAAATTGATGTAACTGAAGTGGATTGCAGTAGCATGAGTAAAAGTGATTATACTGATAGAGCTTATTTCTACAAATTTGTCAAAACAAACCATGCAGCAGAGATATCTTTTATGCCAATGTAACTGTGTCAGCAGTAGCAGCTGGATCATTTAACCATATTTATAATTTCCTGGTGTTTCACTTCTCTCTTCTCAGAGGGGCTAGATTCCAACCAACCCTGAACATTTTATGCAGAACAATATCTGGTAGCTCAAGGAGTCAGTCCTAGGATTTTTGCTGCATCCTTGAAGATTTCAAGTAAATTCTTAAAATGTTTTGGAGGCTCAGCAATTAATATCTACATCTACAAAGTGTGCAAAAAATTAACCATTTTGAATACTAATCAAAGTAGCATTTATGGTTTGAGACTTGAAATCTGGCAATTCCATCACCGTAAATACGTGTTTCTTTGTGATTCTGGTCACAAATCCAGCAACAGTTTACTGGCAGGGAAAAGAGAGTTCTAGTGTTCCTCAACAGTGTATTAAATGGACAAATTCAAGCAAATTAATGGCATTGGAAGAGTAATAATTCATAATCTTCATCCCTTGTTTTGCTCTGAAAAGATGAATCAAGTATGTATTTGCCATTATATTGTATGATACCTTGATCTCATGCCAAGAGATTTATCTTTTTTAAGATAAATCTCCTTAAGCAGGGATTTCTTCTTCCTGCAAGATTCTGTCCTGGCTGAGGATCTGGTGGGTTGTTTCTAAAATCACACCTGGTAGTGCTGGAAATTTCAGACACATAGAAACACTTCTGGCACTATTTAGTGAAGTGATGAACAATTCCTATCATCCTGCAGATATATCCTGGAGCTATTTTGTCTCTGATGAGGACTGAAAAAGCTCCTACTTTAATGAAATCACCTGCAAAGTGGGTCATTAGGTTAAAATCACCTTGGTAGGGTGTGCTGGCTTGTGGTAACTTCCTGTGGTGATGTGCCTCCTGGTGCTGATATAATTACTAACTAGTGTTAGCAATCCTTCATTTCTCTGTCCATGAGAGAACCTGAAAATTATGCAGAAAACAATGTGTGCTAGTTCTTGAGTTTCCTATTCCTGGTTTTTTTGTTTGCCCCTCCTGGTGGCACTAGGAAAGAGAGGGGCATGATAGGTCATGTGGGATGTAACACCCAAGAACCACAAATAAAAAATTATTGCCTCTTCACTTAATGTTGCTTGAAGTGTGGATGTGGAGTGGGGGGAATCTCCTCTCTCTGTCATCTCTAAACTGCTCCTGAGAAAGTCTGTACATACAGAAACTGGGGCAGAATTTTATCCATGTGTTAGCCTTCATGCTTTGTGGCAAGCTTGAAATGAAACTTTGGGCTTCAGCAAGACCATCACAAACAGAGTCACTGGTCTGAGCAGTGCCCTGACTCACTGCAGGACCCACAAGCATACTCAATGTTCCCCTCCTCTGTGATGTGTTTCCTGATCTTTCACATCTTCATCTTGTGATGTAGATGAGTGGAATCTTTTGAAGACATCCATATAAGTGCTTCCAAAGATTTGTATACTTCGGGAAGTATGGTGAAACATGTTTTGTTCCTGGTTTCTTTTATCCATTTTTCTTTCTACTCCGAGATAGCCTTCAGCCTTTGCTGTGCTCTCTGGCAGCTGCTGTTCCATGAGGATGTGCTTTTGGTTCCACTGTGTTGGTAGCTCTTTTCTCTTGTGTCCCTGCAATAGTTTTCTCCAAATTATCCATCCAAAAATGGCTTTCTTTCTAGGAAGGTCCTTGTAAGTAAAAGTATTCTGCCAGCATAAACAAAAGCACATAGTTTTGTCACCTGCTCTGCCTTCATGGTAAATGGGTCTCTCTACATGTCTGCTGCTTGAGCCAGCAGTTCAAATGCAGTCATCTTCTCACCCTGTTTTTCTCACCCCTGAGGGCTCAAGAATGCTATAAGTCAGCATAGGTCCATTTCTTCCTTTAACAAAGTATAAGAATTCTTGTTATTTTTGGTACTTTTTGACAACTCTAGTCTGTAAGTCTAACAAATACTGGATTTTAGTATGTAGGAAAATATAATCTATTGCCTCTCATAAGTGGTCCAGTGATACAGGGGTGATGCCCAGTTATTCTGCAAAATTAACTGCTATATGCTGAGGGTTGTTGTGATTTTTCTGATTTTCGGGCATTTAGGTGAAACTTGCCCCACAGTTTCGGGTAAGGATTTGCTGTCAGTGCTTTGGTTGATATCTAGCTAAACCAGGAGTGTGTGCCACAGATATGTTTTGTTGCTCAGACAACAAGAGCAGAGTTTGCATGGGTGAAATCCCTCGCAGTTATTAACTTAAATACATTTAGAGAGTGGGATTTGTTAAAATCAGACTTCCTTTCATTAGAAAAATAAAGCAGTGAAAGGGAGAGCTTAGCCACTTGAAAGCAATCCTCAGCTCGAGGCATTGGCACATCTGAGGGTTGTCCCTGTCACCCAGTTAAATGACCCAGGCAGATGTCCCAGCCTTGACCCATTTCTGGAGTGAGCCTGTAAATCAGGAGCCTGAAATCCTTCAGTGTCTGGGGAGGCTTTAACAAGGTTATCTGCACATCGCTGAGGAGGCATTTCTGCTGTGTTTACCTGTCACTCAGGAACTAAGTAAATTTTTCAACTGTTTTGTGTGTCTGTTCTTAAACAGACATCAAGTAACATTTTCTCATCCTAAGCTCAAACCACTGCAAGAAGACAGTTCTTCCCTGAGTTACTGAGCATACATGTTTTTCTATTCCCTGTCCTTTGCTCAGATAGCAAGGAGAGGATTGATGATGATTAACTCTATTTTCTTGGTCACCTTGCTTTTCTTTTACAGTCAGTGGAGAAAAACTTCTTCAGACGAGCCATGCCCTAAATTGTCCTTTTCTCTCTGTCAGCTCTAAAAGGAGCACAGGGCAGACAGCTCAGGTGTGTGAGTCAGAGGCTGGGGAGAGGAATCTTCCTGCATGTGTCTCACCATGGCATGGGTCAGGCAGCACAACCTGGCAATGTGGGCAGTGTGTTCCTGGGGAATCACTGCACACTGCCCCTGGCTTAGCCTGCTTGCTCTCACCAGTAGCTGCAGCAGGGTATCCACTTAGTGCATAATTTTTAACTTCTCTAGACACTCGAAAATATTATAAACACTCTATATGCATTACTTAACATCACAAAATAAATAGTAAGTACCATTAATTTTTTTTCATACATTCTTTATTTAATTCACACTCTGCCATTCTCTTTAGAAGCGTGATATAGTAAAGTGATGCATGTAAAGTGCAGGAACAGTTCCAGATTTTTTGGTCTTACCATGTGTTACCTTTTCCACAGTGGAAATCAATGTTGTAACTCGGCAATATGTTGATTTATATAAATTTCAAATAGTGCCATCATCCGCTTCAACTGTGAAGCAAAATTAGTTGAATACTGTCATCCAGGAATAGATTTTTCCCCAAGCTGATGACTTGGGAGATACTTGTGCAAGTTTTACTGTAACCCAGGGGGTTCCTGAGGAGGCACAGCATATTTTCAGTGATGTTTTGCAACTTTTCTGTCTTCAGCATGGTGGGCTGGTCTGCTCATAAACCGCCTACCATCACAGTTTACAAAACAGCGTGTCAGATTGTAGGTCTGATCAATATCTGGTGCAAATTCGTTCTTCTCTAGTCTACAGGCCTATGACTTTTTTATATCACATGAGAAACTGGCCAAATACTACCACCAGTCCAACAACTGAAATTGCAAAACCTTTTTGTTTCTGTTAAGAAGTGAAGACAACCACAACCAGAAATGCAGAAAGTATGAAGTTAAACCTGAATCGGAGGGGAAGGGGCAGCAACTCCAGCTTTTGGATGTGAGGAAGACAGAAGTAACTCTAGTTTGTCCTGACTGACACAAGATTATCATCTTTGCATCTGGCACACTGTAAACATTCATCATAGATACTGATTTTATGATACATTTCACATGGGCGTGACTCAGCCAGCAAGTATGAGAATTTCTGTCTGTGTTGACCTTTCTAATATTTAGATGAAAAAATGGGAGGTAATGATGTGGGACACATGTTGAGAAATGCTTCTCTGTGTCCCATGCTTAGATAATTGGTCAGTGCATCTCCTTTTCCTCCCAAACATCTGCTCTCACAACAGCTGTTCAGGATATATCTCCTCTTCTCCACATTGCCATCCTTGCACATAATAAAAGCAATATAAATGAGGATAGTAGGCAACTGGATCCAACTTAAGGAAAAGTGAATTTATCCTCTCCCTTCTCAAAGTGAATCAATTCAAATTGTCATAATGGTCACTTATTTTCTCTTCCCAAACTCTGTACGTAGCAAAACAGAAATAAAACACCCCTTTCTGTCTGTAATCAATGTCTCTGTGTAATGTGTTTATTTGCATACAGCTGACCTGACTCACTTGAGTGCTGTGAAAATTTTCCCTTTCTCATCAGTGATCTTTTTATGTTTTGAGGCTATTTTTTTTCTGTTAAGATATGCTTAGTAGCTGTGCTAAGGGTTTGCCCAGAGAGGCTGTGGAATCTCATCCTTGGAGGTGTCCCAGGGCGGCCTGCTTGAATGGGTCTTGCTGTCATCAGGTTCAGAGAGGCTGGGTCACAGACCTCTGGGATCCCCCTAACCAAGGTAATCTCTGCCAGTTATTGGAGCTCTTCCTAAATTTGCTGTAGTCTAGACTTTGCTTTGGTCTTCAGACATTTGAGTCAAGACTAGAATCTCGCTGGCACAGGTGCTATTCAGCACTGCTAACCCAAGCATGAAAAATAATGCTGTAATTGCCATAGATTTTAAAATAGTGCAGTTTTTTTCCCAGTGGCTTTCTTTTCAGACCTGAAGATCTCTTGAAAATGTAACCAAACTTCCACTGCATTTGCAGGAGCTGAGATGCTCCAGTTTTTACCCCCACAAAAAGCCACCTGGCCAGTAATGTGTAAATTGCAGTAAATTTCCCACTGGGAGGTGATGCTTTATATTAACTTCTGAAATCTGCCTGTTGTGTGACACGTGGCTGGTCTTCTGTAGCATGTTACACTGCATTGTTACACAGATCTCTTTTTGTCTTTGTATTTGCAGGTGTGCTACTTTTAAAACCTCTAACAGCTTGTCAGATTAGCTAGCAGTAACACAAACAGATTTAATTCCCTAGAACAATTTATCTTATTTATCTATTTTAAAAACTATTAAAAATGGACATTTCTTTTGTTAGTAATCTCTTATTATCCAGTTATAGTCCAATTGGAGGCAGCTAAATGTTCCAAGACTTAATTTATCAGTCTTCTCTATAAGAGAAGGTTATTTTTTGATAAAATACGGAGAAGGAGATAATTTTTAAAGGCAAATTGAAATTACAGAGTTGAATTTATAACAATTGCTGCACAATAGCTGTAACTGAGTGGCAAAACAAACAAGCGTGCTCTACATCAATAAAGAGAGAACCAAAAAACTGACACAATAACAGATGGACTGCAGTGAGTAAAATAAATGCACTTGTCACAAGTGAGTAAAATATGCAGAGTTTCTCTGAGGGGAGCACACTGTGCACCTGCCCAAACAGAACGAACGTCCAGCACATACATTGGCAGAAGAATCAGTTGTTCCCACTGTCCTGACATATTTGTCCTGGTAGTCAGAGGTTATTTCTGGTATGAAGGAAGAGAGTCATGCTCTGTGATTAGCTGAGAGCAGGGATTTCATGGCTGTCAGAGGTTCACCTGTTTGTGGGCTCTCAGTGGTGCTGTAAGGTACCACTGCATTCTCCTGTCAGGGTCTCAGGAGGAGTTTGACCCTGGTTCTTCTGTTCCCCAGTTTATTCTGAAAAGTATTTGAGCTAAATAAGGTAACAGTCACCCTTCTGGTGGAGGGTCAGTGAGAGGAGAGGTCGTGCACCTTCGCAGCAGGCTGCACAACCGGTTCAAGACAGCCCTCCAGGGTTAGGGCCAGGACTACTCTGCTAGTCCTGCTTCTGGCTGCAGGAGGGAGACTGAATGCATTGTGGTGAACACATGTGCGTTCAGGAAAATGTATGTTTTTGTCTCTTGTGGGTGCTTTTGAAAATTTCTACCTCTGGGGAAAACTGTGGTATTTATTTGCTCAGGATTTTTATTGTAGTGTTCAGCTTCACTGACTGGAAATCCATGCTCTCTTGTTAGCTACTGACATTTTCATCTCTTCCTTGTGCTTTCTTTTTTTTCCCTGTGGTGTTCCCTGTCTTTGAGTGTCTCCTTTTTCCCATTTTCTTTCTACTTCTGTGCTAACAACTGTCCTGTCTCTCCCCATTTTATTTTTCTCATGCATAATCAGCAACGAAAAAAATGTCATTGTTGGCTGCTGAGGGGCAAGATATGCTCCAGATTGAGTAGTAGGGAAGGAAAATGCTCTCATCTCTAAAGATTTGTTAAAAAGGGGTAGCCTAATATAATGTTTAATGTCAGGTAAGTAGAATACAAACCTTAAATAATGGTAGATGTTAGATGTGACACAGAAATGTATGAAGTATTTGAAATTTAAAGCACCATCCGGATATTTGATAAATTTAAAGTACAATAAATTACTATGGGACAAAAAAGTGGTCGAGGACCAGCTCTAGGTGTTTGTTTCATGTGTGCAGTGTACCTCAAGTATCTGTGTATGGACATTAATTTTTAGCTTTTCTATGGCTTTCTGGTAATGCTCCTGCTTTTCTTACCATATTTCCCCCTCCAGGGGGAATTTCCCTGTGATATTTTCCCCTTCAAGGGTTGCTGAGGGCAATAACAGCCTTTTTCCCATGGCCTGAAATTGGAGTCTGGCTGTGCCCAGTCTGTATGTGTGCAGTTACTATTCCAAATCTCACCTGTGATTTCATTTTGTTTCTCTTTCCAATCAGAAGATGAAGAGTTTGGCCCAAAGACGTCAGTCTGCACCATCTTTGATCTTTGTCAAAGCACTCAGCAGATCTAGATCGGCCTCCAGGTGAGTCAGTGACTTTTGCTGGCTGTGTTGTTTTGCAGTTTCTCAGCCCAAAGCTTGAAATGTTTTTGAACTATTGTCCGCATCAGGTTGTTGAACACAATTCGGGCTCCTCGGTAGCTGCACAGCTGTAAAGGCTGCTGAAAGATGTGACAGAAGCAGCCCAGGCACCTGGTGGTCTCCTAGAAGGGGTTTCCCCTGTGCTGCCCCACTGAGCTGTTTATACCTGTCTGGGTGGGGAGGGCTGCTCTGCAGTTTGTAACCTGGCATGTGACATTTGGGCTGCTCAGCTCTGAACAGTTTGTGACTGGCTGTGATTGCATCCTGTGGAGATGGCATGGGCAGAAGATGATGAGTGCTTGCTGCCTTGGACACTTCCACAGTGTCAGATGTAGCTCAGGATTGTTCACTGTAGAATTGCACAATTTAATTTGAGCTAAGTTTCTTCTGTCATTGCCTGCTGCATGGTACAGGCTCTCCAGGGCTCTGGAAGCACCTGCTGATTCAGGACAATGCTGTGGGCCAAGATCTGGTGATCACAGCCTTCCCCTGTCCAGTATTAGCGCTTGTGGGGCTGAATTTGTGGGTGTTAAGCATTCAGCCTTTTTTGTCCTTTGTCTTCTGCCAGAACTGGCCATCCTTCCTCCCTCCCTCCTCCCATGTAAAGCTGCTATAGAAGTGGAAGTTTCTGTGGAGCCAGTCCCCTGTCCAGCCCCAGCCCTGACCTGCCATTTGAACCACTCTGCATACATAACTTTTTTTCTCCCTGCACTCTAGTTCATTAGACTTTAAACTTACAAAACGTGTTCATCGAGAAGTGAACCATCTGGTCGGCTGTTAATGCTTCCAGCTGTGTACTGCTCTTTATGAAGAAATGTTATGGAGGGAAATAAAAGTATGGCTTTGTAAGGAATATTTTTTCCTACTCTATGGTGTGTTAAGTAATCAGTACGTGAGCTTTGGAAAGTTTTCTGTCTTTGATCTAATTAATATCTGCAAAATAGGAAAGTCAAAATTCATTTACCTGCTGGTATTCAGGCAACATTTTTCTTCAATTCTGCTTTTTAAATTTACTTTATTGCCTACTCCATAAGTATCAGAAATCAGAAATAGCTGGAGAGACACCGAGTGTAATACACACTACATTTTCACCTAAGAATTTTGTGCTTTCTGAAGTGTCTTGCTTGTATAGCCCAGATCAGAATTATTTCCAAATCTAGTGTGTGAAAGGATTCTCTCCTAAGGCCAGTTGGCAGAAGCTGTGTGGTGGAGAGGACCAAAGAGGGGAATGCATATCCTTGTTCTACAGTAAGCCATGCTTATCTGCACAACAACTGATGGATGCTGCCTCAGTCATGTCTGTCCTCTGCGTGTGGCATGGAACAATTAAACTATTTCTGTTGTTTCCAACAGAAGTCTGTGGTCTTTGTGAGAGGTATTGGGTGAAGTCTGAGGACTCTGAAGTCAGAGGGGGCGATTTTGTAGCTTCAGAGTCTTTCAGTTTAGAGGGTGGCAGTTTGGATGGTGTTTATTATTGTTCACAGGAGCAGTAATTCTCACCTGTGCCTGACTTCCTTGTTTGGCTGTGCAAAGTACATTCCTCTTCATCACCAAACTGATGGATGAGTTTGATCTTTCCACTCCGTTTGTTGTGTAAATGCTTAACTCTGGTGAAGTGCTTTCTCTGAAGGAGAGCTGAAGAGCAACAAAATGACTTCTCATGTTTTCTAATCTTCTCCAAATGTTTTACCTCAGACCTGTCTCTGCTCTTAGTTATTATAGACACAGCCAGCCTGCGAAATCTATCATTCTTCTCTGGCAGTGAACCTTAATACTGGGACTCCATAACACTTACTTGTTAATGGTTGATTAATGATTTGTAGATAATAAAGCTCCTATCTGAGGTTAACAAACATCTGTGAGGGATTTATTTGAATACTCTCACCTCAGCAGCTGGCTCACCTCAATATTTGTTGAAATTAATGAACAAGTGCAAAGTTTAAAAGGGCAGGAAATACTTAGAAGCCGAGTCAGTTTGTATTTTTATACCACTTTATATGTCAGGTGTCCCTGGTTTATATACAGGGCACTTTCATAAAATGTAGTGGCACTTTGGACAGACTTACTCTGGGGCATTTTAAAGTTTACTAATGCTATTTATTCAAAGAAACCATTGTGACATCTGGAGATGGCTATTTAGCATTCAGAGGACTAAGGTTTCGATGGTAGTGTTATGGTAGCTGTGATGACACAAGCATGTGAGCAAGACAAGAGGATCTAGCTGGAAAAACCAGTGCTTGTTTGTGCCATTATCCTCTTATCAGTCCTGAAAGAGAAGCAAGTCTGAAAGTCTGGTGTGCTTAAAAGCTTGTCATCCTTTTCTCCAGCTGTATCACTGGGTTAATGAGCATTCAGCTTTCATTACAAGTCTTTCCTCGCCTTGTCAATCATATAGAAGGAGTCACATGATATTTGGCCTACAGAAGAATTCTGGGATGGCAGTGTGGCATGGTGGTGCACAGAAGGGAAACCTTGCTATAATCCATGCCTCACTTGACTTGTACCTGCACGCAGAAGAGAAACATAGTAAATAGTACAGATATTACAGTGGAATTTGGGCCCTTACATCCAAGAGATGAAGATATGCAGGCCACCATTGCCACATTGTTCTTGTTTTTCTTCCTTTTTTCCCTCTACAGCTCCTTTTTCATCACAAACTTGTGATGAATAGCCATGTAGAGACTCTTCACATCATCAGATGTACTCTTCAGAAGCACTTTGAGCAAGGTTACTGTAGAAATACATTGGAAAAGTAAGCTTTTGGTGTTTTTCTTGGCTCATATTTAGGTGCAGAAAAAATAAATTTGATTTTTAACTCCGTTAATGTGTATGAAATCAACAAAGGATTTGGGTTAGTTGTATTTGTCCACAGACTTGTTCCATGGTTGTAATCTTCCTCTTACTTTTTCTTGGTGTCTTTTAGTGAAACCTGCACAACTTAATGATACAGTTCAGTGCAATACAAATTACATGCTTGAAAGAGAAATGTCTGAGGCCCAGATTTAAAGCAATGGGTATTGTCATCTCAAATAATTGACACAGAATAATAAAGACTTGTTTCAAGTAAAATTTTCAGCTTTTGTTCTGCTGTTGCTCAAAACAATTTTCACATGGGACAAAACCCAAGTTTTTCCTCTGCATTGGTGGTCTTCTGCTTGCATCTCTAATATTTCACAGGGACGGCCAAAGTCTGTGCTGCAGCTGCCAGCAGCTTCCCCTTTTCTATTGCACACCTCAACAGATCTTTGGAGGTGATATTTTTACATGCTGAAACCAAGTAATATAACCTCACAATTTCTAAGTCTGGAAGACCATTTATAGATCTGTGTCTCCACACATTAAAGGTGTTAAAATACTGAAAATGTAACAGCTCTTTTTTACAGTATGAAGAGTGTTTATGATATTATTTTGGTGTAAGCTGGAAGCACAGGCTGTTTTGTTAAAAAAAAGCCAAAGGATATTTTTTTAGAAAGTTTTATTAATAAATCCCTAAAGAACCTGAAAAGGAAGTTCCTAAAATGTTACCTCTACTCAATTTTGTTATGTGGCTTTTATGGTTGGAGAAGGGGAAGGTAAAAACTGGAGATTCGACAAGTTTCCAAGGTGTTTCCTCCCCTTGTTTACATAGAAGTTATGTTATGCCATTCACAGAGAGTCTGTTCTTCCTTCTTCCAGTGCACAGTAAGTGATTCTGGCATGTCATCTTCTAGGGGTCCTGTGCCAAAGGCTAAATATCCCAGATAACGAAGATCATATGTGTAATCTAGTAATACATTCCACTTGGCGCGAGGCAAATACAGAGTGTTCCCGGAGCCTTGGACATTGTGTTTTCAGGGTTTTAGTCAGAAGAAATGTGGATGATCCAAGCTATGGGACTAGAAGAAGACAAAAAAATAGAGACTTTTAATAAATGTAAATTGCCAGAAGGCCTTAACTGTCTCTTTTTCATGGGGAAGATGAGTAGTTGGTGTTTCAGGCAAAACTGACAGCAGGGACGAAGGGGACGAAAGTTCATTACGAGTAACCAGCTTGTTATATAGATATTCCAGCTGTGATAATTTTGCTTGTTCTTTAGTCATTTCCATGCTGGTGAATAATTTGCCTGGCAGTGTAATCTCTGTGAGGCAGGTTTGGCTGGTGAGGCAATGGAGGGGGAGCGCAGGCCTCTGGCGTGCACCACGGCCATTTTTACCTGCTGGCACAGGCTGAGGCCCTGATGCAGAAGCTCTCCTGCCCGTGCCGAGGTGGGTGTTGCTCTTGCAGGCACCACGGCAGCATTTTCTGGAGCCTGGGCTGTGGATGGCACTTCCCTGGCAGAGGCTGCCCGTGTCAGGCGGAGGAGCGGCCGCCATGGCCTGGCCGGCCGATGGTGCCGCTGCTGGTGAGGGCATGGCTTGGGCCAGGCAGTGCCTCGCCAGGGAGTTTGCGGAGCTGAGAGGGGCAAAGGCCGTGCTATGTGTGCCTGCCAGTTTCCAGGTGTGCCTTCCATGTGTGGTCGGTGGGGATTTACCTCCGGAGCAGCTGCACGCCGCCAGCAGGGCTCAGAGGCAGAGCGGGAGTTGGCATGGCCATGTACGATCCCGGCTGGCTCCAGGCTCCAGCCAGTCATCTAAACTGAGTCTCCTATTCCTAGAGAGTCAGTCACCAAAGCAAAGGAAGGTGTGTCTTTGTCTCTGGGTTTAATTCTTAGATTTAATTCAGCCTCGAAAAACTTGATCGGGATTTTTTTTCTGAGGTTTTTTATTTCATTAAAAGTTTTGATGTTTTAACATCTTGTGCAGAAATCTTTGTATGAGAACTGCCCTGGATTTCTCCCCTCAATACGTCGTGTTTCCCTATGTAAGGTAAACATATATGAATGAAGCTATGATATTTTCTGAAAAATCCTTTTTTTAGGATTTTTTCTCCTGAGAAGCTGAGAGGCCTCAGGAACAAAATGTAAA